AAATAATTTCTAAAATATTATTAATATAGGTATGAAAACCGGGTGTTACAACAACTATTATATATGAGAGACCAAAAATTCATTTAAGCCTCAATTATATATACCAATAAATACTATGTTATATAAATTATATATAAAATTTGTATAAATTAAATATTTTTAAACATATAAATTATATTTTTGATTATGATGAATAATTTGTTATGAAATAATATTATTTTTATTTATTGATAATTTTTTTAAAAATATTAAAATTTAATTTATAAATAATTATTATAAACAACTAAATTAGATAAAAACTTAAACGAATCTTTAAAAATTCGAAGAAAAATTATTTAAAAAGTTCTTACACAAAAAAGGCGTATTTAATATAAAAAGGTTGATTAAGTTTATGAAAATATTGTTTTATTTATTATACTATTGAATATGAATATAATTTAATTTAAATACATCGACAATATATAAAAAATAATATTATTTAATTATATCATACTATGTTTGATAAAATTGTTAACTTTTTTCTATTAATTATTTTACAAGTCATATATATCTAGACTTATTGTTATATTAGTTTGTGAGTACAAAAATCTTAGCATTGACTATGCATGAAAATTAGGTTCATATTAAACAATTTAATATTAAAAATACAATGTTTTCACGGAACGGTGAGGGGATGGCGACAGGTTGAGAATCCAGGGACAAAAGACAAAGAGTTAAAAACAAAAGGTAATGTTTCAGTGTTTGTAAATTTGCATAATGACTTATTTAATGCAAACAGTATATGAACAGCTACAGTGATCAATTTAAAAAGTTTGTTTTGCATGTCTTGCATGTTCTCCAACAGTATAGAGTGAAGAACTTTGAAATATTAAATATATTACTTTCAAAGATTATTAATTTAATCACCATTTGTGGATGTACATTATAATTGAGAGTTAGACATCGTAACTAATATTTTATCATGAGTAAAAAATATTTATTGTTAAATATATTTTTAACTCTTCAAGTTTAAGGTAATTTTATTTTTGTCTCTCAAATTTAAAATTTATATTTTAGTCTCGTTAATTTTTAAAAATCTTGTTTTAGTTCTTTAATCATTAATAACATATCTATAAATTCAGATAGTTATGCAATATAAAATGTGATGTTTTATTAACAGAGATAAATATATTTTATACAATAATATTTGACAAATTTCTTAATAAAATTTGAGTATAAGAACTAAAATAAGATTTTTTCATAAATTACAAAGATTAAAAAGACTAATACTAAATTTGAGATATTAAAATTAAATTTATTTTAAATTTGAGGGACTAAAAATATATAAGTCATATTTATTTTTATATTTATCAATTTTAATATATAAATTATATTTTAGATTTATAATAAATAATTAAAATTGTAGTAAAAGTATTTTTACATTGAATTGAATTATATTAAGAAGAGAATTTTCACTTTATGCCTGTTCATAATTTCCAATAGAGATTAGTTCACTACAAGAATGTTTTAATTTAGAGTCGGTCAAAAGCCGACTCTAAATCATAAAAACCGATGTAATATTGTCGGTTATTCGTCGGTTTTTGGCCGACGCTAAATAAGTCGACACAATTTTTTTTGTGTCGGCTAAGCCGTCACTAACAAATTTATTTATTTTAATTTTTTATTGTCGGTTAAGCCGACACTATGTTGACACAAAATTTATTTTATTTTTTTCTTTATCTTATTTTCTCGCTTATCATCTATTCGTTCGTATTTTTAGCATTCCTGGGACTCGATCCGTGAACCTTGAGGTCTTAAGTGAACTTGATAACCAAGTGTACTAGAACATTATTCGTATATAACATTGAAAAAATTATCTTTATCTCTTTTGAAATTCTTTTTTAGAAGAGTACAAATAGTACATAAAAGATACCAACTCAACTATCAGATAGGGAGTCAAATTAAACATGCTGAAAATCTTATAATTAAGTAAGAAAAATAATTTTCTTTAATATTTGTAAATACTAATTTGCGTTCAGAAGGAGGTGGGTTCAGATATTCTACAATGTGTTTGTTTCTATCACTGTTAAACTACACATTATAATAACACATGTACCCTAAATTCTTGGTTAACATTATATGAATAAGATGGGGCTTGATTGTTTACTCAAGTTTGATCCAAATTTATGAAATCTTATATATAGTTTAATTAATTATTTTGTTTATGATTTGTTGTTTTTAACTTCATATTAGATATATACTTAAAAAGGTAATGAAATGTAATTTTATATTCATTAATTAGAATGACTTAAAAATTGAAATAAAGTATTATATTCATTTTGATAGGTGATATACCATGAAGAATTTTTTCATTTAATCTGGACTGTTGGATGTTTAAATTATGTCAGAAGTAATATATATATATAGTATATATTATATACTAACATCATTTAATCACATGTGCGGAAAAATTTTATAGCAAATATTTTAGTCATAAAGAAGTTAACGATCAGAAACGATGTCTGAAAAATTGATCAATCATAAATTTTATTTGATAAATGAATAAAATAAAATGGGAAAAATTGATAGAGATTATACACGTGAGTTGGGAATTTTCTCATTCTCTTTCAATTTGTTTTTCATTTTGCGTTTTTCCTTTTGTTTTAGGATGCAATCAAGATGTACTAATTTTAGTAGGTGGTAATTAGAAATCGTCAAAATGATATGACCAAGAAGACTTATTTTTAATGAAATTTGAATGGGACGGTATATCAATTGTATTTGCACAAATATTATAGAGGAAAAGGGTGAATTTATGGTTAGCAGTTAGCATCAACAAGACTTATTTTTCATGAAAATGCATGGACAAACTTGTTTTTGGACCGATGAAGATGCTTACCAAATGAATAAAACAAAAACCTTATTGTCATAAAGATGTTAAGCGTAAAATTGTTGTTAATAAGCACAAGGTTATTGGAAGCACCTGTCTATAATTCAATTTATTGTCTATAATTGTGCTACATTTAGATCCTTACTGCTATCATATCATTGTCCGTCGTGACGTTGTCGTGAGTCATGACACCATCGTGAATTCATTTCCATCATTGGAAGTGTGCCGCAGAAGAAGAAATCATTTGAGTTGCACCGCCGAAGAAGAAGAAAAAGAAGAGCACTTGTGTGTCGTGCCGCGTGCGTCCCTTCGACACAACTTTTCTTCTTTTCTTTTTCTTTGAAGTGTTTATTATCTTTTTTTTTTCTTTTTTTTTTTTTTTAAGTTTACGGTGTCCTATTTTCTGTTTCTTTTTCTTTTTTTAAGTTTCAAACATATTTAAAAATATGACAGTCTCTACCTTTAACAATTTATTTTTTATTTTCTTAATTATATAATTTTTTTCTTTATAAACACTACTAAAAATATGTCATTTATCCAAGGATTTTCATGCGAAAAAATATTTGTAGAAAATTATTGCAAAAATTCTTGCAAATATAAATCTCCAATAAATTATTGCAAATATTTTTATGATTTTAAATTTGCAGAAAATTCTTGCAAATTTTACTACAAAAATATTAATTATATAAATTTTTTGTTGCAAATAAAAATTTTTAAAAAAATTGCAGATTTTTTTTTATTTTCCTACAAATTTTTGTTTTAAATATAAATTTGCAAGTAATTTGTTTTTTTTGTGAGTAGTATTTCCTGCCAATTCTTTTTATTTATGATTATTTTTATTAATTTAAAAATTGAAAATATTTTTGACTCCTCCATAAAAGTAAACACATTTCTGTCTTCCTTCACTGTACTGATTACATTCACCTCCGCAACTGTATTTTTACTCATCACCGCCGCACAACACTTCTCAAGTAAGTCACCTCCGTATCCTCCGCACCTCCGTAAACGTAACCTCCGCACACTGCTCACTGTAACACTTCTCTCAGCTCCAAACCAGGCCGGACTCCTCCCTAGCTCCGCCAAGCGCCGCCGTACGCTCTGAAATCTTTCGTCGTATCTGCCCTCTCCGCTTCCGGCCTTCCGATCTGGTTTGTTCTATCTGTCCTTTGCTCTGAACTGTGAAATGTTGGATTTAGTTCCCTTGATGCTGATTTTGGTTACGTCGATCCTCTTATGAGGAATTTCAGAGCATAATTCATTTAAATCACTTTAAACAGAGGGCAGATTTTTGTACGCCTGTTTTCAATTCGCATTTCATTTCACCCCTAATTTATAGATCTTTTGATTGGGATCAATGACGAGTAAAGGGATCGTAATTTCAATTAGTCACGTGTAAAGGATCTAAGATCTGTGATTATTTACTATTTAAGAGCACTCGGATTGACTTAGATTTACGATCTTCGAGTCGTGGTTAGTTTGGTATCCTCACGAAAAATTGTGGTGAATTATTCAGGGAAGAGTTTGTGTGAAAAATTCCTTGCTGATTCTCACCCCTAATTTTAAGGGGGTGCCAAATTGACTCGTAGTAATGAACAGATAATGTGCTTTAATGATGTATCATGTTTATTATTTGGAAGTGGATCATTTTATTGTTTAATACTACTTACAGTCTAATACCTATGGCTAATTGTCAAGCTCTCTGACGTTTATTGTTATTCTTGTTTATCTTCTCCAGTCATACCAAATGGCCAACAGAGTTCAAATTCCTACCAACAGTTCAGCACTTATTGCCATGATTGCAGATGAGGTAAGAGTGGCAATGTCGTGTGTGCATTCTTCTTTTCCTAATTTTTCTCACCGTACAACACTTTATTTTTTGTGTTCTTTTGAATGTAGATTTGAAGTACCAACTCAATGAGAGAGAAGACAATGCTTGTAATCTGAAAAATGTAAAAGCAGATGTTGGTTGGAGGTAAGATGTTTGTTGGATATGTGTCTCGTTTATTGATTGCATACCTTATTTTAAACCACATTTTTGTTTGTTAAGAGCTAGCTAAGATTTGATTCCTTTCGAGAACAATTCCATTCAACAACTCCTGAAGGTACATTAATTTACTCTTTCACTTTTGTAATATCATTCTCTCTTTCTGTTTTTAATTGGATGAATTGTGATGCAGGAAAGGACGGCGTTGATCCAACTTCTTGCGGAAAGAAAGTATCCTCTCGTGCTCTTTTTAGGATCTGAATCGAAAGCATTAAATTGAAATGTTAATGTTAATTGAACTAATGTTGTTTGAAAATTGAACAGTAAGATCATTGAAGTGAGTGGCGCGGAGCTGCAGAGGCTGAGAGGCGATGTGAAGAAGTTGCAGCTTCAAAACTGGAACCTCGCTCAGTCAAATAGCCACATGTTAGCGGTTAGTTAGTTTCCACCGAATTGAACAAATGCTTTGTTAATTGAAGGTGATTGTGATAGTAACTATTTCTGCTTGATTTTGCAGGAGCTTAACTTGGGGAGAGAAAGGGTGAGTTACTCAATGAGTTGGTTCATTTCCCTAACTCTATTTGTATTTGTGGATTGTCTAAGATTGTTTTGAATTGTTCCAGATAAAAACGCTGCAGCATGAAATTTTGTGGAGAGCTGCTTTGCTTAAAGGAAAGACCATGGACGTGCAGGTATGTCATGCTTTGACATGAATAGTGTACTTTTTATGGCTATGAAGCCCCATTGTTCAAAAAATTAGAAAGTATTACTGATATAATTGGTTTTAGAATACAGTCCAGGATCACATGTACAATTTTAGCCACAATTTCAAGATTTTTCAAACCTCAATTCTACTAAAGTTGAAGCGACATCAACTGTATTTAACTGCAATTTCTCAATATTAAAAACATGTAACTAAATTGATGTCGCAATTTAAAATCTTTAGTATTGTACCCTATCTGGTACTGATAATTATATAACTAATCGTCTAATCCAAGGAGTATCATTCAATTTTTATTAATTTTATTAGAATTCTATTGAGTAATACATGTTCGGGATAACGCTAACATATTTTGCACAAGGCTAAAATTAGAAAGGGCTGAATCTTTTTCTTTATATCCTTAATGGGTAATTCAATTATACAGAGCCAAGTTTATTGAGTGTAGAACAGATGATTTTTTCTGGTTTTTAGTCATGAGTTGGCGAAAAATGTTCAACTTTATAACGTGTATAGGAAAAGTTATCCATTGGTGATCCTGTTTTTATGCCATCTCAGTCTTCAATACTTCCTCAAACAATGCACAATATGTAGTAGGATAGGCCATAAACAATGCTTTCCCTTCCTTTTTTCCCCCTTAATCTCTCTTATCGTCGTATGTGAACCGGACCTCTTCATTTTTACAGGAAAAAGTGGAGATTACATATGTGAGTGACACTGTTTAGTGAAAACTGGAACTGAAGAGAGTCAAGTATAGATTAATGCATCAAAAGTGGAGATTGTTGTTCATTTTGGATGCTTACTGTGATTTCCTTTCAACATTTTCCCAAACTAAGATAGTTTTGGAAATGCATGTACACTTGTGTTCCTTCCAATGAGTAGCACTATGTCATATATATAGTAGTCAAAGACTCTTAGTTCTAAGTAGTAATTAGACACTGTATAAGTGTATATGTTACCTATTAGAGTGCCACTATAAACATGATAATAACAACATTACTAAATGTTGAAAAGTTTGAATAATGTAATAATATTTTCCTTGGCAAACATTGCATGGAAATAAGATCTTATTAAGTTATTAGCAATAATTGGTATATGATTGGTCAATAGAGGAAATGATTGGAAAAATTAAATATTTTAAGTTTAGCGTCGGAAAAGCTGACGCTACATTTTAAAATAGCGTCGGCTTTTTTGACACTATTTGCGTAGCTATTGGCTGACGCTTATTTTTCACCGTTTATTCTCCGTTTTCTTGTAGTGGTTAGTGTTTATGATGATGAATACCTCGTATCAATAACATATTTTGAAAAATTAAATTGGATAACCAATTAAAAAAATCACGTTGACATAAAATAAAAAGAGAATAGCCAAAAGATATATGTTTTTTTGTCCAATTACAAAGACGATGTGTGAAATATACTTGAGAAGAAAATAAGTGCTTATAATGTCTAGATGAGAGACTCAAGAGAGTTATAATCTTGCTTTACAACTTGTTTTCCTTTTTTAAGAGTAAAAAAGGTAGTTTTTTTCTTTTTTAGAAGAGTACAAATAGTACATAAAAGATACCAACTCAACTATCAGATAGGGAGTCAAATTAAACATGCTGAAAATCTTATAATTAAGTAAGAAAAATAATTTTCTTTAATATTTGTAAATACTAATTTATGGTATAGGAGTATATACTTCCCCCAAAAAATAATCTCTACCATTTTATTTTCTACCAAAAAAAAATCTCTACCATTTTATTTTCTACAGTAACTTTGTTTTTAATCGATTAAAATACGTGTATCTCTATGGGCTTTAAAAAGGCATGTGTATAGTGTGAATTTTGAAGAAATCACGTGGAATTTAATCATGTATTTAAAGCAAGCATAAACGCATAAATGAAGGTCTAGTTTGTATTTATTTGGAAACGTATTTCTAAGGTTCTTTTAAGGGTCACTTAACTCTTCAATTCTAATGATTCTAATGGTACTGTTCTTAACATTTTCTTATTGCACAACTCTGACCGGAATGATTTTAGATCCTTAACGAGTACGTTTTAAAATTGAAGTCGACAAATATGATTGTATATTTGATAGTTACATCACACATCTAGAAGTAGGAAATAGCGTATTGCAATGTGAATCTTATAATCCGACGATTATAAACCATTTCATTAGTAAGGACTTGTCTAAGACAAAATCTTCCAATGCAGCTCATACACAACCTTATTCTTTATTATATTACCCTTTTACTAGGTAAGATAGACAACCGATGTGTGAAATATACTTGAGAAGAAAATAAGTGTTTATAATGTTTAGATGAGAGACTCAAGATAGGTATAATCTTGCTTTACAACTTGTTTTCCTTTTTTTAAGAGTAAAAAAGGTAGTTTTTTTTTAGAAAAGTACAAATAGTACATAAAAGATACCAACTCATAACTATCAGATAGGGAGTCAAATTGAAAATCTTATAATTAAGTAAGAAAAATAATTTTCTTTAATATTTGTAAATACTAATTTATGATATAGGAGTATATATATACTTCCCCAAAAAAATAATCTCTACCATTTTATTTTCTACCAAAAAATAATCTCTACCATTTTATTTTCTACAGTAACTTTGTTTTTAATCTATTAAAATACGTGTATCCCTATGGGCTTTAAAAAGGCATGTGTATAGTGTGAATTTTGAAGAAATCACGTGGAATTTAATCATGTATTTAAAGCAAGCATAAACGCATAAATGAAGGTCTAGTTTGTATTTATTTGGAAACGTATTTCTAAGGTTCTTTTAAGGGTCACTTAACTCTTCAATTCAAATGATTCTAATGGTACTGTTCTTAACATTTTCTTATTGCACAACTCTGACCGAAATGAATTTAGATCCTTAACGAGTACGGTTTAAAATTGAAGTCGACAAATATGATTGTATATTTGATAGTTACATCACACATCTAGAAGTAGCAAATAGCGTATTGCAATGTGAATCTCATAATCCGACGATTATAAACCATTTCATTAGTAAGGACTTGCCTAAGACAAAATCTTCCAATTCAGCTCATACACAACCTTATTCTTTATTATATTACCCTTTTACTAGGTAAGATAGACAACAAAGTTGTCAAAAAAGCAACATTTTGCAGCATTAATGTGATTCTGCAGATTGAAAATGAGACCAGTATTCATTGACAAGCTGCTTGAATAGCGATCCTTCATTCTTCATCAAGCTCATTGGTTCATCATACTCCACCAATTTGCCTGTCAATAAAAGTATACCTTTCAATGAAGAAAACAAGTAAATGATAAAATATACACTCTTTATTTCTAAGAAAACTCGATGTGAAAATCAATTACATCATAGTTTACTTGGTATCATTAAATCAACTACCTTAATGTTTATTATATTAGCCTTTTACTAGGTGAATGTCCTTTTCCAAATTAACATGGCTATGTATGGTGTGTGTCAAACCAAGTGCTATAGAATTCCAGTTAGGAATATATGAACTGCACTATTTGCACTCTTTAACTTGTCCTCATATTGAGGAAAGTATAGTTTGATTAGGTATTAACATAAGAAAATGAAAACAGAGTTATGAATTAGTCTGAAAATTTTTTGTTGGACCAGATAAAGGGGTTGTCAATTGTAAAAAATGCAATTACCATCACTGATCGAAAGAACCATAGTGCAATCCATCACAGTTGGTATCCTG